CTAAATATTGTTAATGCCATTTGAAAAGTACGATACATCTGCCACTCCCTGCAATAAAATGTGGACTAAATATTGTTAATGCCATTTGAAAAGTACGATACATCTGCCACTCCCTGCAATAAAATGTGGACTAAATATTGTTAATGCTGTTTGAAAAGCACGATACATCTGCCACTCCCTGCAATAAAATGTGTACAATCTGCTACAAGTCTTAAGTAACAAAATTTCAACTGCAATAACAGTCTTTTAAGAAACAAATCCTAGGTACTCATACACGTAGAGCGCACCCTCAATTTCTTTGTCATTTCAAATTTACAATAAAACGAGAGCATTTAATAATTAACACTTAATTATATCTGGATTGTCAGGAAGCACTTGACAAGGTGCCACATGAAAAGCTTGTTAAAAATGTTATCTCTGAAGGTGTAGGAGGATAGGTTGGCTCATTAGATAGAAAAATGATTAGATGAAAAAAAAGCAGAGGGTTGTTATAAATGGAATTATGTCAAATCTTATGTCACAAGTGAGGTACATCAGGAATCAGTGTTAGAACCTTTACTCTTATTGACTTACATCAATTACATAGATGAAGGAATGGTCAATAGATTACTTAAATTTATTACTGCTTTACAAAAGGACTTGGAATATTTGTTAAGTTGGGCAAATAAATGGCAGATGATGTTTAATTATGATGAATGCAAGGTAAGGCATGCGGGATATCACAATTTAAATTAATAATATAATATTGATTGATTTATCCTTAACAGTTCTTTGGAAGGAAAAAGACCTTGGTGTTCATCAGCCTTTTAAGTCATCCAAGCAATGTACTGATGCTAGTGGCAAGGCAAATTAGAATTTTAGGTTGTGTGTACAGAAGCAATGAATATAAGTCTAAAGAGGTTATAATTTCATTATATAGGTCACTGGTTAGGCCATATTTGAAGTACTGTGTTTAGTATCAGGCTACTTACCTTAGAAAGGTCATTGAATTGTTAGAAAGGGTTCAGAGGACGGTTACTAGGATGATATAAACAAGGACAGATTAAGGTTTTCTCTTGAAGTTAGAGGTGATCTGATTGAGGTGTTTAAGACTGTTCAAGGAAATTATAATGTTGATGCATCATCTCTTTTCATACTTAATGGAAAAAAAGGTAAAACTACAAGAACAATATAAATATTGGCAGGGTAACAGTCATCCACAGATAACACAGCCTTATTTTTCTGATAGGGTGATTAGCCTTTGGAATGGGTTGCCTTCAAATGTGGTAAATGCAGTTAATTTAAGGGTATTTATGGAAAGTTAGCTAAATGTTTAATGATAAGGGTTGACTTTGAATGTTTTTAGTGTTTAGTTTAATTTAGTGGACAGAACTGCCTAGACGGACCAAAATGTCCCTTGTTTTCTTTTAATGCTATTTTGTAAAATACTTATTTTCTTTGTGTAGGTTTGCTTTGGTCAAATGTTTACATTTTTTTTATTCATAAATTGGCAGCCACTTTTATACACAATTTTTGTTTCTAGGTGATAACAAAAGTTCTTAGATTGAACTACATTTGGTAAGTAATACACCAAAGATGCTAATTAATACACATTTTTACAACAGGAGCTCATTACAGGAGCTCTAATATCTGTTAAAAACTGTGAAACAGAACACATATTATAGGTTGAATTGGAAAATTGAGTGTCTTGTATCTACATTTTGAAATCAGTTGATACATAGTAAACAATGAAATTAAAATAACTAAAATTTTGTCCAACCTTCGAAGTTTATCAAACCAGTGTCCATTTTTGGAACCTAGTAAATGGGTGTCTGCTAAAAGCATGACTCGGAGAGGCGTATGACTCTGGCCAGGTGGGATTCCACTGTCTGTGGAAAGTGGATCTAAAGTTGGCCACGAGCATTGCAGCAGTACAATATAATAAATCAAGACCTAGTTAAAAAAAGAAAAGAGAGATGACTAGGCAACCAAAATAATATTCACAAACGTTAAAGAAATTAACATTGAAAAAAAATATATATATATTTTTCATATACTTTCTTTTTGCAAAAAATGGTTTGGTGGAAGAATTCAAACATTAAGAACTCATTCAAATATTTCCTACATATCAGCCATGTATCAAATTAAAAAAGCCAGAGTTAAAATCTTGATTATATTATCACAAGGTTGATTTTTTCTCGTATTAATGAAGGTGATTTTTGATCCATGTGGGATCAGACAAAATAACTATGAGGAACAATCCAAAGTGATCCTCTCCAGTAAGGAGCTTATAAAAGATGTTTCCGAAGAAAATTAGGTTTCTGATACAAAGGATACAAGATGAGACCAAAAAAGAGTTTCTATGGTACCAGTTGTTATACTGTAGTCAGCTCTATCTATTGAAAACTCACGAACAACTGGGCTAACAGATTATCCTCTAATTTCCACAACCCTTTTTTTTCCCATAAAAAGTTCCTCCACTCAATAGTTATTTTATTGGTTAAAGTTCATGAGTGTGAAAAAATAAACATATAATAAGAATCGAATTTCAATCAAGAGAGTTTATACAAACATGTACTTGGCATTAAAATAATATTGATTCTAAAGACAAATATGAAAATTAGATCTGAGAGCACACTTTACAGTATGTTGGAAGGAAATGGAAATAGGTCTTAAGCATTAAGAAATATTTAGCTTAAACCTGTACAAACTGTAAGCTCAACCCTTCTTAAAACTACACTGCTTTTTTATTATAACTAATTGAAGTAGAAGAATTTGTTGACTTAGACAAATTACAGAAAATTAAAAACTTAAATTTCATGACACTAACAAAATTTATACTACAACTTCAAAGATATTAATGAAGCAGATAATAGGATATTTATCAGTTACTTCTTAACCTGCTGTTCATGGGGTTCAGTCACAAGTTTGGGTGTCCAAAATAGAATTCATGTAGCTCTCAAATATGCATTTTAGAACACAAAAAATATATCAGTCACTAGAACAAAATGTCTCAAAACTACTATAATTTATGTGGCTTTCTAAAAAAGCTTTAAGCTCTTCAAAATTCATTAAGAGCTTAAAGCAACCAAGTATGATCACCACTAATCAAACAATTCTGCTCACTCACAGTGAACTAAATGACAGCTCCTAACATCTACGTAGAGGTGAAAATGCTTTTTCTATTGCTTATACGCATCTCAGTGATGTAAAGTTGATTAGCAAAAAATACTGAAAGTCAGAGAGAGAGGTGATGGGCTTGTTTGGTGGGTTTGACAAATTTATTGTTATCTCGGCAAATAAAGGTAAGAGGTTCGAATTTTAAACTCTCAATTGTCATTAAGCATGATATGTGTTTCTAATTGTTAGAAACTGTTGAAGTACATTACTGAAATTAGAAAATTCTCATGTTGAGGATTTGGAGATCAGATATGTCATACGACATAGAAAAATGAAGTTTGAGAATTTAAATTATGAATAAATTAATTTAATACTGTAAAATGTTATGATGTGCAAAAGAGCCAGCTTAAGTCTCTGGAAAACATTTGGATGAAAGCTAACACAACAATATTACAAAATATAAATAAAAAATTAATGGTAAGGCATGTTCTCTTCCCTTATTTACTTTCATGTCATTCCATTTATGTGTAGTATCCAAAGAAGTTCAGGAAACAACCACAGATATGAACTTAAATGCTATGAATTAACTTACCTCACAAATAAAGAGGAGACATATTAGGAGAAGACAGAACTTTCCAACCACACTCCACCTACTGAACCAGCCAACAGGGTTTTTGTTTTCTGCCATAGTCCAGAAAACTTTCATTGCTTTCAAGTTTCAAATCATATGTTAATGATAGTTAACATCCACAGGGGTTGTATTCAGATAATCTTTCTAGTTCTTTTGCACATCTAATTGCATGTTTTCTGTTACATTTCTCAATTGGATGAATAGTAGTTCTGAAAAACAAAAGTATTTTATTTGGATCAGTCCCTAATTCATATGGAACATTTACTTTAGAAATTAATACAGAAAGACTCAGTCATGTTTACATGTACTTCACTTTACTAACTTATTAATTATGCCCTATCAATATTATTAATGTAAATAAGAAAAAGCAAAGGTCCCAGCACTGCTCCTTGAGGCACTGCACTAGTGACAATGATCCATTAATATTAATAACAATGCAACCATCCTACAGTTCATCTAGTCTTTCCACACCCCAGATGGAGTTCAAACATTAGTTATAATCATTACTCAAAAAGAAATTAAGTTTTATACTACACTAGAGCTGTTTTACTTTTAAAATAAATTCTATAAGTAAATCCTTGTCATTGTAATAAGAGTCAGAAAAAAAGCCATAAGGTTTTATGAAAATACAAGGTGTCAGATACTTGCCAGTTTAAGTTACATAAATTAACGTTAACCCTAACCAACTACAATCATCCAACAAAAATTCAATTCATCATACAATAATGATACATGTAGATCCTTATTTTTCTCTTTCCACATCCTAGTACTTTCTTTACCAGCCAGTGCACACATGAAATATTAAAGAATTAGTAATATGTTACATGCACATTTTAAAAAGTAGAACAAAATGCATATCTAATGCATTTGTCATATTTAAATAACTTACAAATTACACTGTTCTTGTAGTTGTACTACCAGAGTACAAAAAGTTGTAGCTGCTTGATACAATAACGGCGTTATAACTTAAGACTGACACTTTTTTTTCACTCAGGTTCCAATTTTTACTACAAAGTTGTAAAAAGTACAAAGCTTGTAGTTGCAGAAATTCGAGTAAAAAACTAAGTTATGTCGAGTTTTATTAATCTAAATTATATATTTTACTGTATACTACCAAAGGCAATGCAGATACTGAAGCAGTGAGTATCTCACTCAACGATATACAGTACTTGGAGATCGAGTTGAACTGTGCCCGTAATCCTTTGGTATTTGCAAAAGACTAATGTAAATCAACCATAGTTAAGCCTAACGGTGATAATTATCACATACTACAAAGCATGAACACTCACTCACATTATAGATTTGTATTACTATCAGTATCGCTGTATCTAATAATGTTACTATTCAATGAATCAAGCGAACATCGGATTATAAACAAAACATAGTATTAGTACTCCTTAACAATTGTATATTTGTAGCTTTAAGTTTAACTAAGCATAAACATTTAGTTAAAACTACTCGACTAATGAAAATTATATATTAAAAATAATAAAAAATCGCTTACGTGTAATCGCAGCATATGTTCAGCGTAGATTGTATAGAAGTTGAAGAACATAACAAACAAGTTAAAAAATATTTTCTCTAAGATAACAAGACAGACGGCGCTGACAACTTCTTACTGATATTCGATGACGAGGAACCCACTTTGAGACTAATAATGATAGGAGACAGCTTGAATGGGTAATGAAGAAAAATTTTAATATAAGTTTAACATAACAGCAAATGTACAACGTTTCAACAAGGTTTTGTCATCATCACCATTCAGGCCGTCTCCAACAATTATTATCTTACTGATATATATGTTTCAAAATTATTGTAGATACACAAAAGACAATAATATTATAGTGTAACAACAAAGGTCAAGAAGTTGAGCCAATGAAAACAATTATGATAATAATTCAAAACTGATTAGGCCATTAATTAATTTATTTTGATAAACTCTGATAAACAGCTTTGTATACTGTTGGAGCTTGAGTTAAATTACCATTATGCAAAGAATTTTTCAGCCTCATTTTGAGTTTTGTACTTCAACGTAAATCCTTAGTGTTAAAGACGTAAAGAGGCACTTTGTATTCAAATTTGCTTCATACTTTTATTCTTATTAGTCCTCAATCATACTATAAAAAGTACCTACAATTGTGGTTAAATAATGCTCTCGAGATTAATTATTTCGAAATATTATTAGTTGTTTTATTTTAACACTGTCGTAAAAATTCGCCCTCCGTTGCAGTGTTTAAAGGACTCCTTATGAATCACAGAGGCCTCCAATATACCGATAACTCCTTAGTTACCTCTATAGTTACCCCAAATGAGGCCTGTAAGGTCTGTACATGAAGACAAACCTCGTTATGATACCCACCTGTGGTACATGAGCAGGTATTTCTTCGTTTGTTCTGCCAGCTTCTGAGTCAAGTTGCATGGGCGTGATTTCGGTCGTTAGAGGACCTCTTCCTCTCTGTATGAACGTTGATTTTAAATGCTTGTGAGCTTTTATTTAGACGAGGCATCAACTTCTACCTTCCTCCGTAATCGACAATACAAATTTTTATGAAGGACCGATCTATAAACACGCAGCTACTGCATGCGCGCTACTAATGTTTGTAGTTTGTCGCACACAAAAGTGGCCATTTTCCGGCCATGTTCGTAAATGGAAAAATAGCATTTTTGCAAGTTATATCCCAACAACATCTCTTGGTACGTCTGTTCGGACAGAAAGTCTTGCTCTTGTAAACAGTTTCATAGTTGGACATATAAATTCGCCATTAATATTATTTCGACATAATTAGCCATTTAAAATAAAATTAATAGTATAGCTAAATATTGGTCTGTCTAGTATTGGGCCGTCGATTAAAATAACTTAGGCTTAACGGTGAGAGGAATTTAGGTCTTTGTTCATCACATATGATGAAGTTTTCTAAAGTACTTTGTGATTTATTTTTATAAATTTTCTTCTTAAAATAATCTATTGATCTATTTAGTAGTCTTCCTATTTAGTGAGGGTAGGAGTACCGTTTGAAACATGGCGCCCCCAGGAACCATAGAAGACCAGAAACACAAAATCCGATGCCAGATTTTCGTTCAATGATCCTGAAAACCTACTCCTAGACCCAATCGTAACTGGATGACCCTCCAGATATCTTTTATCTCCTCTTGATAGGGAGTCAAAGCCATGTTGATAAAGACATTCCTCGTGTTGTATTTGTTTTTCTTATTTATACTAATTACAGTTTTTAGTACGAGAAACATCTCTTCAAATCCAAATTTCCAATACAACGAACTTGATCTAAACCCAACCGCTAGAGAGTGCTTGCATAGAACGAGGAAAAATATATTTGCGCAAGTCAAAATGCAACGTTAATGTTCTGAAGTTTTACGACCACAGAAGTTTACTTTTATCATAAAAGTTTTCAGGAAAATGAGGTTGTAACGGTATCGTCTTCTGCCTTACAACCTGACAAATAATTTATAATGATCGTTGCATCATTCCTCCGATTCTATGCGATAATTTATCACTCGTTCCCTCAACATGTCGGAAAATTACACGTAGCATAATAATATAAAATATTTTGATAGTTATAAAATATATATGTAGATATCTTAGAGTTACGTACTATATGAGATTTGTAAAATGTTCTGCACTTGTATTATTCATGACAAATAGCCCACAATTTATAGTTTTATCGTTACCTAGTTGTTTGATGAAGGTTAACTATTACTCAAATTAAAAAGACGTGTTTTTAATTTGTTTTGTTTTGAATTTCGCGCAAAGCTACACGAGGGCTATCTGCGCTAACCGTCCCTAATTTAGCAGTGTAAGACTAGAGGGAAGGCAGATAGTCATCACCATCCACCGCCAACTCTTGGGCTATTCTTTTACCAAGGAATAGTGGGATTGACCGTAACATTATAACGCCCCCTCGGCTGAAAGGGCGAGCATGTTTGGTGTGACAGGAATTCGAACCCGCGACCCTCAGATTGCCTTAACCACCTGGCCATGCCGGGCCGAAGAGCAAAATTGTAGTGGTTACTTAATTAATGCTGTTATGGTTTACAAGCATTTTGATTATTTTAATAACATTTTACTTGTTGAGATTGAGGGAAAATATTGAAGTGTATTAAAGGTATTTCTGATCTATAAAACTTAAAATAAAAAATCTATACTTGAAAAGAAACACCAATTATAATTATCGTCAATTTCAATGGCAGAAACTTAATATTGATTTTTCTTATTTATTTATATTTTGTCATAGTTGTGTAAACGTTGAAAAGTTTGTATGTAATTCCATCTGTCTTGCATATGTGATATTTTCCTGTAAAACCGATTTCATGGCAAACCTCAGACAGCAGATTAGATCAAGATATCATAAGAATGTTCATAACTTGACTGAATTTTGAGTTGTCTGAGAAATAAACAGATTAGGCACATTTAAAGAACAATGAAAACAACCCTTATTTAGTCGTAACAACAAAAGCTAAAAAAAAAAAAGGTTTAGTGTCAAAGCGAAGATAAGTGGATGATCGCCTCTACTAGATCAGTGAATATCCCGTCAGCTTTTCGACTTTCAAGATGAGTTTATAATGAAATAGTCATGATGAAATGAACAAAGAAAACACGCTCGAATCTAGAATGTAAACTCGCTTTCTTTGTCCAGTGAATGGCGTCACTTAATGACTTCTGTTCCTTGACAGGTTTGGTCAGCTGTCACTTTCAAGCAATGCATAATCGACCAGCCAAGAGTATTCAGTGCTAACATGTTCAGCTCAGCGTCTACTTGCAATACTTAAATACCTCCATGGGCAGAGGTGACGTCAAGTACTAGAAAACAAAGAAATGAAGCAATTAGAACAAAGCAAAGATAGCAACTTTTTGAACCACCTGTAGCTGTCATGATAGTGCGGGAACTAAATAATAGAAAATAAAAAAGTCTATATCGTTATAGAAGGTGGATCACTGATAAGTATAAGGGCTTACAATGCTAAAAATATGGGTTAGATACCTGTGGGGTACAAGCACAGATAGGCCATTGTGTAGCTTTGTGCTTAAGAACAAAACTAATAATTCTTTGTGAATTTTGTTTATACGTTTATGTTATGATCCATCTGCAAGCATTTAGATTCACGTACGATTTTTTTTAAGTCAGGTATCCAAAAGTAAGAGAGCTGAAATGACAGTTTGTAACTCCTGATATTTATTTAGATAAAAACGTAGTAATGACTCAACTTTTCATGTCAGCAGGTAAAATTTGTTTGTTCATTTTAGAGTAAAGCTACATTAGGGTAGCTGCTGAGTCCACCGCAGGGAATTAAACTCCGGATTTTAGCGTTGTAAGTTCGTAAACTTACTGCTGTCCTACCGGGGGACAGGTAAAAATTGGAATTATATTTAAGTTGGTGAAATGAAATCGTTCTTAATCTTAATTAGTCAAAACTGCTCATTGCTTTTGCATATCTTTACACATACCTCCCCCCTCCCCCCAAATAACAAACTAGTTTCTTTTTCGGATTTTAAAACCATCAACACTCAATTAGTAAAGTTGATTTGGAAAGGAAATTGGGATGTTTGCACTCGGCGTAATGAAAATTGCTTTCTAAAAACGAAAAACATACTTTTAATTGTATCATTGATTGGGCATTGTGTAAAGGCGCTGCCCAGTTTAATTCAAGTTATAAAATTATGTACGGTAAAAAAAGAAAATAAAAAAATGTGAAAAAGATAAATCCAATAGCTGGTAAATATTATTGTTGTATATTTGCAAAAAAATAAAAAAGTCAATGGAAAAGAAAAAAGTTTAGAGTTGAGGTGTTGTATCAAGAATCTTTACATATGGACTCTTTTCTCTAATTCTGATATCACTTTGTGGTATCATTTAATGTTTTTGTTTTTTCTTCATACATTTTAAAAATATTTCCTGTTAATCATCTACTTTTCTAGTAGCTTCAGCTTTCACAAAAATTGGTAAAAACACGGAATGGGTTGTCTTTCCGAATGCATCAGTTGGAGAGTGATGTGACATTTAATTACGAACAGTATATAGCAACTTTTACTCCCTGAATAGGGCATAGAGTATCTACATGTCGCAAGGCAGTCATTAAATATTAATTTGTTACTCATAATAATACTTAGATCTTTAATAATATTTATTGTTAGAACTGGATTACAACAAAAGACGAAAAGTATCCCAAACGGATTGATCATCCTTATAGCTATAACCATTATTTTAAACTTGAAAAATGTATCAACAATAATTTTAGAACATTTACCAAATTCCGTTCCTGGTCACATAAATCTAAAACCAATACATCGGATCTACTTCGTTGTATTAGATTACGGTCTAAATACAGTTAAGTAGTCAGCAACACACACACACATGGGCGTCCGCAAGGGAAGGGGGGGTGACTAAGAGGGGCACTTGCCCCCACATAGAAAAATGAGAAACATAATTATTTCTTTATTCATTCAGCATATGTACCCCCCCCTGGAAAAATGTCTCCTGACGCCCATGGACACACACATACACAAAATATTAACCTGCGTACAAACAAAACAATATAACACACTGGTAATTAGAGTAAAATCATAATGGGGTAAAATGTTTTGTATGAATTTGTTCTATCTAATAATAAACGATAATAATAATAAAGCAGCTATTAACTAATTAAAAAAAAGTCTTTATTGATCATGGAGTACACCAATGGCTAGCAACGGCAGTAATTCTTTATTATGGATTCTGTGTGAGGGCGCTGCTCAGTTTATTTCAAATTTTTTAATTAAAATTATATGCAATTTTGAAAAAAAAAAAAAAAACATTAATAAGATAAATTATACAGCGGTTATATACTATCGTCGTACATTTACAAAAACAACAACACACAAATGGAAAATTAAAACATTAGAGTAGAGATAGTGTATTAAATATGTTCATGAGCCATTCAATTGAAAAGTGAATAAATGACAAGTATAAATTGTTATCCGGCTAACTGAGGATATAAAACAGATCAGAACGTTCTGATGTTGTAATTAATTCAGAATTATGTAAGCAATTAAAAAAGAATTAAGTAGAAGTTATTTGGACGAATGTATAAGTAGCTACTTTAATAAAATGCGATTTTTTTTCCATCAATGTTCTCTTAATTATCTTTATTTTCAGAATTCGTGAAGTCCTCACAATTCTTAGACACGTTTCAGTTCTGAGGATCTTATTGTCACGCCTCTGAGGTCAATGAAGACGACAGATTTACCACTCCTGGACCAATCAATGGTAATGTTCTAACAACCTCGTCGTAACTTGGTGGCTTTTCTTCAACATAGGTGGCGCTAGAATAGCTGATAGAAGGTAACTCCTGGTGTGAGAAAGGGGTTGAAACTGTTGATATGTTGACCGTTTCAGGACGGGATAACCTTAGATCTGATCTTCTTGCGTTTCGATTTCGACGATATGGGACGATGACGAAGAGGGCAATGACGAAAAAGGCCAGAACGGAAATTACAATTCCAGCGTAGGTCCACGGACTGACTGAGGTCCACCGTTGTGTCATATAATATGAGACAGAAAAGTAACCATACTCAGTGCATATTTTGATAGATTGACGGAATAAAAAATAGACAGATAACTTATAAATTAATGGATAACTGACAGAATAACTATGAATATATAAACAAATATACAGGCGGGAAAAAGCTAGATAACAGATGATAATGATGCAATTCATTCATGAAGTAGACGGATCTTTTGAGCTGTCGTTAGATAAAAAATGATGGAAATTTGTACTTATTTAGGTAATAAGACTCTTCCTGGTTCAAGATTGGTAGGCTAACGTTTAATAGAAATGTTGATGAGGCTTAAAAGTTTGTTTGTTTAAAGTTAAGCACAAAGCTACACAATCGGCTATCTGTGCTCAGCCCACCACGGGTATAGAAACCCAGTTTCTAGCGTTGTAAGTCCGCAGACAAAACCGTTGTGCCACTGGGGGCCTTAAAAGTTTATTTAACAATAGTCACATTTTTTTATTTTTGGAAGAAAGGTGAGTTAACCATTACTCCGAAGTTTGACGGAAGAGTGAATATCCTACTGCTATTTTATATTTAATATAACACATTGTTTAAGGGACGTGAATTTCTTAGAGGTTATTAGATAAACAATGTTTTTAAGACATAATGGAAATTTGTACTTATTTAAGTAGTATGACCCTTCCGGGCTCACGATTGGGAGAATAACGTTTAATAGAAATGTTGATGAGGCTTAAAAGTTTATTTAATAATAGTCACATTTTTTATTTTTGGAAGAAAGGTGAGTTAACCATTACTCCGAAGTTTGACGGAAGAGTGAATATCCTACTGCTGTTTTATATTTAATATAACACATTGTTTAAGGGACGTGAATTTCTTAGAAGTTATTAGATAATGTTTTAAAAACACGATGGAATATTTATTTCAATAATTTGTTTTTAATTTTAGGCTGGAGAAGTTTCTTGGAACAACAACAATAAACTTTAGTTGTTTAAGACTCATAAAGTAGGTAATTAATATGTAAAATTATACACGGATTTTTCTATACTTTTATTTGTGAGTTTTCGGCCCTCTTAGCGGAGCCTTCATTGGGCAACAATGTATATGTATGATTCTACATAACAATAAATTTTAGGCAACGTGAAACAATAGCATTTTACGTAAAACACTATTATCTATAATGTAATAATTGTACATCTGAACAAACAGTAAATTTTACTGTTTTGTTGCTCAATAAACTCGTTCCCACCTATATGCGTGTTGCGAAGACAATTGAAACCAATTTAATTTTATTCGTTAGAAATTAAACTGTGTTCTGAAAGAAACAGCTGTGTAACCACTTTTGGTCTACACCATATATTCAGTTAATTAGTGATGTTTTTGTAATTCAGTTTTACCTTTTAAAGTGATATTATATATATATATATATATATGTATAGAACGTTTTAGGAATACTGTTTAAAAAAAAGGAGTAAAATTGATTGTTTCTGAAATCACGTCATCTATTTAAAACTGCCACAACAGGTATTAGTTTCTTAGATGTATGGAAGCACATCAGATTTAATTTTAAACATCTTGAAAAATTCAAAAGAGTTTGTCTACACATTGGGTTATCTCTGATATGTTCACCGCGGGTATCGAAACCCAATTTTAAATGTTATAGCCCTCCAGCCTTAAAGCTGAGCTTCCGGGGGCTAAATTCAAAAAAAGATACATACGCATTCCCCCGAACATCGGTGGAAAATTTAAAAGATTCAGTAAATACAGCAGCCCTTAGTAAGTCTTTTGTAGAATTCAGATTATGAGAGTGAAATATTGTGTTGAATCTAGCGAAGTGTGTACGATATTCGTAGTTCCAAGTCCCAGACTGTTCAGGATATGATCACTCGAAATTTTCTCACGTAATATGTACCATTTTGCCCGACAGCCCACAAGTTTTTTTGTTTTTTTTTCCAGAGGTTAATTAATTACTCAGAACAATAAAACAATGTCCTAATTACTAGCAACTATACCAAACAAAACTGCATTTAATAAATGCCATAAGTTACGGTACGACGTTAGGGAATCATCGTGCATCTGCTAAACTTTTACTTTTCAATTATTCTCAACAAATGCACCCCTCCCCCACCTCTCACTGGCTCAACGGTAATTCTGATACCTGAAAGAAATAGCGATGCAGGTAACACCTGGACATTTTTTAAACAAAGTTATTTTGAATCAGCTATATTTAGCTGCCACTTTTAAGTCATAGGCACTCCTTACCTTGTCGTGTTCCACAGTTATCCTGTAAACATTTCTCGTCGCTTAGATCTCCACAGTTATTGTAACCATCATCTAACAAAGAATCTGATATACAAGCTCCGTTCCTGCACATGTAACTGTCTAGCTCGTTGCAAATGCCGTTCTTGACTGCAGAAAACAGATTATTTTAGGACAGAAATAATTTTATCGTATAATGTTTACATCAAAGAAATAGTTATTATCTTATAATAATAGTTGCGTCATCGAGG